GTCGCACTAGGTACCTATGAATTTAGTGGCCAAAATGGCTGTATAGCAAAAAATGGCATAAATTACAGTATCTATACCGTAGTTTGGTGTTTTTTTTGTTTATAGCGCAAAAAATAAAAAGCGCACAGGTGATCAAATACCACCAAAAGAAAGCTCTATTTGTTGGAAAAAAAGGACATAAATTTAATTTATGTACAGCATTGCATGACCGCACAATTGTCAGTTAAACTAATGCAGAGCTGTATAGCAAAAAATGGCATAAATTGCAGTATCTATACCATAGTTTGTAGACGCTATAACTTTCACACAAAGCAATCAATATACACTTATTGGGATTTTTTTTTACCGAAGACGTAGCAGAATACATTTTGGCCTAAATTTATGACTAACTTTGAGTTTACTATATTTTTTTTATAGCCAAAAGTAAAATATACAGTTTTTTTCAAAAATTTTCGTGTTTTTTTTTTTTATAGCGCAAATAATAAAAAGTGCACAGGTGATCAAATACCACCAAAAGAAAGCTCTATTTGTGTGAAAAAAGGACGTACATTTCATTTATGTACAGCATTGCATGACCGCAGAATTGTCAGTTAAACTAGTGCAGCGTTGTATAGCAAAAAATGGCATAAATTACAGTATCTATACCATTGTTTGTAGACACTATAACTTTCACACAAAGCAATCAATATACACTTATTGGGATTTTTTTTTACCAAAAACATGTAGCAGAATACATTTTGGTTCAAATTTATGACTAACTTTGAGTTTACTATATATTTTTTATAGCTGAAAGTAAAAAATATTGTTTTTTTTTTCAATTTTTGTGTTTTTTTTTGTTTATAGCGTAAAAAAATAAAAAGCGCACAGGTGATAAAATATCACCAAAAGAAAGCTCTATTTGTGTGAAAAAAAGGACGTAAATTTCATTTGGGTACAGCATTGCATGACCGCGCAATTATCAGTTGAATTACTGCAGTGCCAAACAGCAAAAAAAGGCCTGGTCATTGATCCTCAGGAGTGCAAGTGGTTAAAGCTCAATTTTACTCATAACAACTTGATAAAAAAAATTATGTTCTTTAGCAAGAAACATACATTCCACATTAATAGTTATGCTATCAAAATTAGAGTGTGCTGTAAATTGCCTCCAGCATTGCTCTTGTTTCTTTTTGCTGGAGGCTGCCATTTTGCTTAAGACCAGAGTCCCTGAGCAGCAGTAAATCTTGGCACAGTGCCAAAAAAGATAGAGCAACTGAGCATGTGTAGAGCAGAATAAGAAAGTGTATTATTGGATATTAAACAGTAGCTATATCTGTAAAAGGGGCCAGCCTAAAGTGATCTAGAAGGACTTAACCTCCCTGGAGGTGTTCCCGAGTGTAGCTCGGGGTAAAGTTTCAGCACCAAAAGCGGTAACCCTGATCTACACTCGGGCTTACCATGCAGCGCTGCGCTGGCATCTGTTCTTCACTTACCTTGTCCTGCACTCCCGCGATGTCCCTTCTGCGGTGTCCATGGCAATGTAATCCGTTGGATGCCGTCATCTGTCATCTAGGTTCCGTCCCCTGCAAGCGCCGGGACGTACGGGGGACGGAACGGCGGGAAATTTGAAAATGACCAAAAGTGACATTCACTAAATACACTAAAATCACATAGTAAAACATTACTGTATCAAACCATTTCACATACATTTTGTCCCTAGTGCTTTGTCTTGTGCCCTGCCTGCATTTGTACCGTTCTTTCTGCCTGGAAACTGAGAAACGTCTATGGCATCCAAAACGCATCCCTTTAGGTCAAAATCGGTTTTAGACCAGCTAGAGAACAGCGATAGTAAATCAGAACCACTTGCAGAATTGAGTGATAATGATTTGTGGAGAAATTCGTCATCAGACACTGAAAACGATTTTGCGACTTTGCTCAGTGATGTGCAAACTTGGTGCTATATTTCAAATTTCAGTGTTTTTGGTTTGATTATATTATTGAATTAAATTTATTATTATTATATTATTATTTTTTATGATTATTTATTAAATTATAATTTATGATTTCGTGTTTCAAATGTTATCATACCGGGGATGTTTACTAGACTCTTGTTCGGACAGATTTCAGTGAGTTATTCCTAAAAATTACAGGCCTACAATAAAAAAACTATATATTTCCATGCAAAAAAATGTACTGCTTTGAGCACAGAAATATGGACATAATCAGACCACTAGGGAGGTTAAAGAATATTAAACCACAAATTTCCAATTCCTGATATGTGGATTCTGTACCATGTACTTGTGTGAGAAAATATACTGTTCTCTTTGTATTGATTTCTTTGTATGAAATCCCTGGTGTTCCTGCCAGTCCTCTGCTTTTCTATTAAAAACTGACAACACTAGGCATGTTAGCACAGCATGGTCAGTTCTAGCTGTGCTGGGAACTCAGCCTGCTCTTCTGAAATAATCAAACTTGTGCTGACATGCCCCCCCCCTGCACAATCATTCACTGGGAAGACCATTGTGCTGCTGTTTCACTTTCCCCAACTCTCTATGCAGCAAAGAACAGAAGGTATGTAATCACTTATACAAAAGGGGAAACAAATGTATTTATAATTTCTTTTATATCTATGTACAAATGTTTTACCTTTCATTTCTATTTTAAACTGTATGGGTTGCTTTACGATACTTTAACTTTCTGACTAAAGTTTCATTTTAAAGTGCAAAAACTCTCCCCAAGACTAAACAAACAGTTTTAAAACTTGCAGTGTGGACGCAGTCCCACTGCAAGGGATAGTTTTTAAGTTTACCAGGTCACAGGAGTGTGGAACGAACTGCACTCCTGTGATCCATAGGAATAGTATAGCCATATTAGCTTTGGCTATACTATTCCTTTAAAGGATAAGTTCACCTTTTAGAAAAAAATAATAAATGTACATTTTTTTTGCAGGTAAAAAAATGTGCATTTATTATTTTTGTCTGCAGGAGCCTGGAAAGCATTGCACCAGTGATCAGTAGATTGCTGATGCCATGCAGGTCTCCTGCAGATCTGTCAGAATATCTGCTTACCGTACGGGGTTGTATGGTCAAGCAGATATTCTGACAGGGAGAATGATGAACTACCATGGCACTTCACAGTGCTATGGTAGTTCATTGAGAATTACAAGCCGACAGCCTCTAAGGCTGTTGGGATTTGTAGTCTGTTATTCACAGATGACTGTGAATTAGTGATGCAGCTGTGTGGGCGGAGCCCCCCGTGCAGAAACGTTTTTTTTTACAAATTTTGACAGTTACCGAGAGGGTAGACGATCCCCGCTAGCTGTCAAAGTAGGGATCGGGGGGGGGGGGGGAAGTGGGCTTCGGTTTGAACGTAACATGTTACCTGAATATGGGTGTAACATGTAACATGTTACAAAAGGTGAACTTATCCTTTAGTCCGCATGTACACTGGATGTGTTTACAGCTTTTTTTTTTGGCTTTTGACATTTTTTTCTGCAGCCATTAAACCCCCCAGCATGTTATCCTATGTGTCCATGCACACATAGCCTGTAATCAATGTTTTTTGGCAGGGACATTTTTTGGCTGGAAAAAAACAGGACTAATGGGCTTCTAGAGGAGTTTTTTTAGCTGTAAAAATGCTCTAGCGCTGAGAAACGCAGAAAAACATAGAAAAACGCAGTAAAGCACCACAAACCGTCATTTTTGGACTTTTTTTGACCAAAAAAAAAAAAAAAACTTTTTTCTGGTAAATTAAATGCTAAAAAAATGCAGACGCAGAAAATGCGGCAAAACGCGGCAAAGCGCTAATGCAAAAACGCTAAAAAAGCTGAAAAACTCCCGCTTTTAATTTGATTTTACACAGCTAATAATACCAGCATTATCAAAACACACCCAGTGTGCATGGAGCCTTAAAGTTGTTTTAGGATATTATTATTTTGCTATTTAGGCTTTACAACATTGCTGAATGTTTGATAATACCTTGCTAGTTTTCAGAAATGTATTACAAGTACCCTAGTGCTGCTAGGAAATGTGATTGTCCATCTCTGTGTAGATTCATTCAATTATTTGAACTGAGCCTTTGTGTCAGCATGTCATCAAAAACTTTTCTATTTATTCCACTGTAGATGCTCAGCTGTTGTGACCATTATTTAGCTTAGCACTGTCTGCAAGGACAAGCCCAAAGGACAGAGTGGAGTGAGCCTGCATGTTAGTTTATTTTATCTGAGAACAATTTGTGGAGGTGTTTTTCTACACAAGACATGCAAGTAGGAGTTTAAGTAGCTGAGAGAATTATTGAATACGAAAGAACAGGATTGTGATTGTTTTTGTGGTAAGTGTCTACTGATACAAGAACGATCTAGAATGGGAAAAGTGGAACTAAGCTTTGGAACAAAGATTTTTTTTATTAGCTAAATAATGCTGGGAAGAACCTCTCAAAATGTGTAGGTAAAAATATATATTTTATTGAACTGTACTAAATAAGAACTATTGCATGGATCTGCAGTGCATAGGTAAACATTACTGAAATAGCCTTTTGCGTTTTCTTCTTTCTGTAAAAAGTAATGGCATAATTCCACAGTAAATGGGGTTTAAACTATATTGCTACATTGCCTTTGTCATTTCCCTTTAGCTTGCACAGCTCCACATTACACTAGGGACAAGGACTTTATGACTGAATCTTTGTATTTTCGCTACTTATGTTAACATTGTTTTTTGGGATTGTCTACATTTCATTCTAAATGTATATGTGTACTGTATATTTTATCCAGGGTTAGATTTAACATCATACTTCACTAGACATTACTGACAGATTGCATAAAATGCTAGAATGAGCTATTGGAGACTGTCTGATTTAAAAGCAAAACTGCTTTTCAGTTGAAAAGATCACCAAAAAAGAAAAAGGTAGTATGATTTAAAATTGTTTCAATAGTGAATTCCAGATTAATTAATATGCCCTGCAGCCTTTCATCCTAAATTTCTCTTACTTAATTAACCCCATCACGCCTAAGGGTAAAACAAATCTAAATGCCTAAGCACAATTTTGCAAGTTGAAATTTGTTAGTAAAACCGTACATATCACCACAACTACTTTGTACATCCAGGTGAATTATACCTTTTTTTTTTCAGGACAAATTGGGCTTTCATTTGGTGGTAAATGGTAATGGATATCTCCTGATTTTTTTTTTATTTAGCTGCATGTTTCTTGTTACTACCATAACCTACCACCAAAGAACAACCCAAAATAAATTCTCCAGCTCTTGACAATCGCAGCAATGCCATATATGTGTATGTTATTTAATGTTTGTACCCGTAGTACAACCCAGAAACAATAGTGCACATTTTGTTTTTGTCTTTTTTTACCTAAAACACACTGACACTAACTGACACTGATACCAAATATTTTTTTAAATCCTGACCTTTGACCTTGACCCAAACACTTACCCTGACACTGAACTAGATCAAACCTTGATCTAGGTATTTTTTCTTTGTTTTTTATTTTATTTTTTAATATGTATTTATTTATTTATCTTTTTTTCCCCTCTATGCCAAGGGTTAGAGAGATACAATGTGTCCTCTCTTTTCCATTAATAGAGAGAAAACAAAACAAGGGGCTGAGCTGTACAGTGACTGATCACTGTGATAGCCAAACAGAGGCTATCACAGCGTTCATGTGACCCGGAATCATGAGTCCTGGGTCCCGATTGTTAGAACTGGACCCGGTGTTCTCAGTGACACGGCGCAAATATGTGGCTCCACGGAAAAATGCCCAGTTCTGTGAGGCCGCATATTTGTGTTACGTCGACGTCAAGGGATTAAAGTGTCACTAAAGGCAAAACTTTTTTTTTTCAGTTTTGGATAGAGTGGAGGGGGATTTGACCCCCTCCCACACCATCAGTTTTTATTGTTTGTGTCCCCATTAGGGAGATTCACCCTCTCTAGTTGTCCTATTTACCATTATCATTGAAAGTGAAAGTAAAAGAAAATCCCAAATTTTGGGTGGGCTTCAGAGTACTAAGAGAGGAGACATTTTCCAATGAGAACATTAGTTCTTGTGACCCTGGTAACACATCGGGAATCCCTCACTTTACCTTTCACTTTCTGTTTGGCTATGGGAATGGAAGTGAGGGGAAATCTCCCCAATGGGACACAGATGAAAAAAAAAATGATAGTGTTTAAAACCCTCCCTTACTCTATCCAAAATGAAAAAAGAATAACTTTAGTTGCACTTTAACTAAAAAAGTTCACAGTACGCTAGGGACAAGGACTAGGTAAATAGTAAATGGAAACAAAATATCAGAAAAAATATCCAGATGTGTACATTTTGAAGGTTTGTTATGCCCCTTCTAACCCTGTTGCCCTATGCAGTGGCCCTTGAGTGACCTATGATAAATAAAGCTAATTTATACTGTATTCTACACTCATGTGATAATAGATAGATAAATAATAGATAACTATGCTTTGCTGGAGACACACTGCTGCTTTTGGACTATCACCTTAGATATTCAATAGCACTCTGATAATTCTTTGACATATAATTACCACTTGACCTCTGGAAGATTTACCCCCCTTCCTTACCACACCATTTTTTGCTATACGGCACTGTGTTAATTTAACTGACAATTGTGTGATCATGCTACACTGTACATAAATGAAATTTATGTAATTTTTTCCCCACAAATAGAAATTTCTTTTGGTGGTATTTGATCACCGCTTGGTTTTTTATTTTTTTGCACTATAAACAAAAAAGACCACAAATTTTGAAAAAAAATACTTTCTGTTGTTAAATGTATCCAATAAAAATTTTCAAAAAATCATATTTCTTTCATAAGTTTAGGTAAATATGTATTCTGCTATATATTTTTGGTAACGAAATCCCAATTTGCAAAAAAAGTTGTAGCATCAGTAAACTATGGTATATACACTGGAATTTTTATTTTTTTATAATTGTAATTGGGACAATCAGCAACTTATATCAGGACTGCGATATTGTGGCAGACAATCTGACACTAACACTTTGGTAGGAACCAGTTACACTAATATAGTGATCAGTACTAAAAATATACTCACTGTACTAATGACACTGGCTGGGAAGGGGTTAAAAAGCTAGGGCGATCAAAGGGTTAACTGTGTGCCTAACCAGTGTTTATATGTGTACTATATGATGTTTTTACTAAGAGATGTATTGGATTTTATTCCCTGCTTTGCAGGGAAACAAAATCCAGCACATCGCCGCTGACAGGACAGAGCTCTGCTTTGTTTACATATGTCTCTCGATCAGTTGGTGCCGGCAGTCATCCATTGGCTGGTACCCACTAATCAGCTTCTGCTATTACTGATCATCCCTACCAGGAAGTACAGAATAACACATTTATACGTTATTCCACACACAGCGACCACTCTGTAGCAGTAAAGCTGCTATAGGGTAGTCGTCAAGCGGTTAAATTATTGTTGTTTATTTATTTGCAAGTCAAACTTGTATTCTAAGGGATATATTTAGAACACAGTGACTGTGACATTTACCAAAGATTCACTGTAGTCATTTCTTCTTGCTGAATATATTTTAAATTATAGAAATTGCATTAAAATAAAATAGACTCTAAAGCATTACTGTTTACTTTTGATTTAATTGTTTTGTTTACCTTTTTGTGTCAATCATTGTGTGTTTCACCTTTCTATTACCTAAATTTGACAACACAAACCTTCTAGTTTAATTATTGTATAAACTAGAGAGACATGGTGTAAAATAGAGACTAGAGTGTCAGAACAGAAAAAACAATAATGCCTCTGATCTTTATAGATTGTCCCCAGTAAAGTAAAGCCAGCCATACATAGTTCAAATCTTGGCCGGTTCAGCAGGTATCAGCCGAGATTTTAACCATCTTCTATGGGCAGGCTGACTGTACCCAATTTGATTGTTGTCCAACGTGGGTTAAACCAGCCCGTTACATTTTTCACTAGCAATAATCACTATGTTTTCCTGGCAGAGAAGCTTCCCCCCCTGCGCCTCCCCCCCCCCCCCCCCCACACACACACACCAGGATAACACAATAGCTCTGTGGGACAGTCGGTGTTGATGGGAGAGTCAAGCAATTTTCTTTCCAGCAAGTCTTGGTTCCAGAAAAGAAAATCGCATCATCTATTGGTCAGCTTTAGTTTTCAATCTGCATCTAATCAGGGTAAAAACTTCAATCCAGAGACAAAACAACACTAATCTTATCTTTAAACATTTGTGGTTTGTACATCAGACTCATAAGTTAAAATTGTTAAGTACATGATACATTTCTTTTTATCTGTGGAAAAGAATATTTTATTATCCAGTTCTGGCAACCTTAAGGTTATTAAATATCATTATTTTAATACATGCAAAAGAATAGCTGGAAAAGATCAAGGTCATCAGCTTCAGCCTATTGTTTCCAAGTGTAAAATAATTCAGATAGGCTGACTGAATTTACTAATTGCTGCTTGGTATAGTTTTTCATGTTGCTGATTGATCCTGGTATTTTTCGTTTTCTAAAATGACTCTACAAGTGCTTTTATAGGGATACCTATGAAAAAGTGGCAGTGTTTTAAATCTCCAGTCTTAAACTCAGAGGTGTTAGCTAGAGGGCAGAATAAGCATCCAGTCATTCAACTATAAAGAAATTGAGAGAAGAGACTATAATAGCATTCAGGATCACTGAAGTGTGAAAATTTGTTTAAAAAAAAAAAAGTATGAAAAGGGCTTCTTATATTTAATAGAACTCTGAAGCAAACCTTTTTTATGAGTTCTTTAAGATACAAAACATTACAAAACGTACAAAAAAATTAAATAATATCTAAGTAGTAGTAGTATACATGCTATAGAAATATTCAAATATGTGTAAAGTATATTCTAATATATGGCAAGCACTGATATCGAAAGGTAACAATGCTTAAAAAGATGTTACTTCACAATACACACCTGATTGTGTGGCAATTGCTTCAGTTACGATGTGTTAACAACTGCTTTAACATGCAGGCTTCTGCTGTGCAAACCAGAGATGGGCTACATTTTTTTAATCTGATTTTCTCTTCATTTCATATATAAACTATCTGCAAAATTGTGACAATCATGGTTTTAAACATGATATGATAGGGCAGTGGGAGAGGAGCATGGTGTTGTGGCCACTGAGGTCTATAAACTGCTTTAGATTCCATCAGAGTTGGTTACAGTGTTGTAAATGTTGTGCTAATTTAGGAATTCTGTGAATGGCTTTCATTTTTCCAGGGACCAGCTGACCATAGAATATAGTGGGAAATTCCAAATCTAAAATTTGAGAGCTGTCCCCTGCTTAGGAAAGAAGGAAAATTATTCCAAAGGGGACACTTGTTCCAGTGACAACTGTCTAGGGCAAGCCATAGATTATTGGATTTTCATAAGGTGGAAAAAAAAATTGGTCGATTCCCCACATCTATTCCCCCATCAATACATTTAGTGTTGATGGGGGGAATCCCTCCTGCAGCGCTATTGTGCTCTGCCAGCTTGGGGCATTTGCAGATGGCAGAACACAAAGACTATTGGTAGTAACTATAGCCACCTGCAATAACTGCAGGTAAAAAAAAATCCAACAGGCTGATTGTACCCAAGTCAATCAATGGATCAACTTGGGTAAACCAGCCTGCTCATAGATGGATCAAATTTCGGCTGACTTAAGATAGAAATATTGTCCTAGCTTTGAAAAGATTTCCTCTCATTTGTTGAATTTCTAGAACAGAAACAACTTTTAATGATTCCATATCTAACAGTAGTAAAAGATTTGGCTATGGGCACCCATTAAATGCTTGAATAACTTAGAATTAAAGATGCAAGGCTACTGTCAGGACTCATTTTTCTAAAGGCTATAACATAATAATTGTTGCAAAGTTAATATACTTATATTTAATTGGTGATGTGGTGAGGCACAGTTAATCACTTGCTTTGTCTTTACTGCTGTCTTTGCTGATGCCTTTTACTCTGGAAGATTGATCTCCTTCCACCCATGGGCCTACTGTGTCAGCCCAGGCACAATAAAATAAACATACAGGTTCTTCCTGAAGTCCATTATGCATACATTCCACTTGAGTTACTACATAGAGGACACTCCCCTCAAAGAGTCCTGGTTATCATGCTAGGGCAATAAAAGCAATATTAAACTATTAGGACTGTTTATGAAGAACGTATGTGGGCATCTACACTATTTGAAATGAAGTCAAAGTCATGGATTCTGGGTTATTCTGGCAAATGTTTGATGCCTGTCATAGAAAAAAAAAAAGCAGTTTGAAATAAAAAATTTCCCAGCTGTCACCTGCATAGGAAAGAATGGGAAATCTTCCAAATGAGACACTTGCCCTGGTAACAACTGTCTAAGTAACTAGAAAGAAAAAAAATGACACTCAATCATTCCTCCAAAAAATAATAAAAGTTCTGTCTGGAGATACACATTAAATGCTTGAGCTATTTAGGATGAAGAATAAAGAAATACTCTCAGGCTCTTCAGCCTAGGTGAGACTGATTATACCTTTAAAACGGTTGTTAAACAGTAGTTGTTGAAGCTCATGACATTGGAGAACACTACAATTCAGACAGTTTGCAGAGCTTCTGCAGCCACTGTGCACTTTGCAAGTGAAGCTGCATGTATTTTGCCCAGTGATTAGTGTATGTGGTGAAGCTCTGCTGATTTCCATCATCCAATCGTGGGCATGCAAAAATGCTGTTTTTTTTTTTTATTTTCCTTGCACCTGATTAGCTATTATTTACAAAGTGAAGTTTCTCCACATTCACTATGCTCTGGGGAACATTAGTGCAACTGCACTTTGAAATTTGA